TGATCACCTTGTTTTCTTTGGTGATTAGAAATGGAGACCTTGAGGACATGCTCCATGATCTTTCCAAGCATCAAGGCCAGACTGACTTGGTTTGTATTCCCTGGATCCTCCTCTTCCCTTTCTTACAGATGGGCACTATATTTGTCCCTATCCAGTCATCTGGGTCCTTACCCAACCTCTATAAATGATCAAAGTTGGTAGCTAATGTCTCTGGAATTACCTTGGCTAATTCCTTCAGTGGCCTAGTGTGTATCCCATCCAGTTCAGTTGACTTGAAAGCATGCAGGTTTGCTAAATAACCCCTATGCTGTTCTTCAACTACTCTAGGCTGCTTGTCTCCTTCCCCAGCTTTGCTGCCAGCTGCACTCATGTGGTAGCTGACTTGATTCATGAAGCAAGGAGGGTATTAAATGCTTCAGCCTCCTCTCATCTTCCATAACTGAATTGCCTTCTGCATTCAATGAGGGGCTTGTGCTTTCCTTAGTTTTCCTCTGTGCACTTCAGAAAGAGACCAACTTTTTGCTTAAAGTCAAGTCTTAAATCACTTTGAGCTGGGGTTGTCTGCTCAGCCTTCCTGCTTTGTGTGAATGGTGGTTAAATTGGGAAAACGCAGAGAAGGGTGTTCTCCGTCCTCTGCCTAAGAGGAAATGGGCTTCCTAAAGTGCAGTCTTGCACACTCATCCTATTCCCAGCACTTTTGGTTGGTGGTACCTCGAAGTCAAGGATGGCGTCCGTCGGGCTTGATGGGTCCTCAGGTGAGATTCACAGCCCCAGGTTGATCTCCTTCTCCGTCCTCCACACAGTACAAACCTAAGAGTGCGAGGAGAAGGAAACACAGTTTTAAGACAGCTGATCTCATGTTAAGAGCTATTTGTTTAAGACACCCACAGGTAAACTCTAGTCTCACTGAAAGCTAGTCTTGCCCTGAGCCTCCATGGGTATCTGTAATATAGTAGCCCCAACATACTGCAGCTGAGACTGGGTAGTGTGCTAGGTGCAGTACAGACCTCTGATAAGAGATGGTCCCCATTGCAAAGACTTTACAGATGAGACGGGCAAAGGATGGAAGAAATGGAGATGGCTATGCCCATTGTACAAATTGGGTGCAGCATGTGGAGAGCAGGGGGTTAAGAAATTTTGGTGGCTCCCCTGATCAGAAGGTTCTGGTGGGACATAAGGCCTTGATGGACCCTTTCGTCCCCTCCCATTTTCTATGCAATATGAGTGCAGAGGCCATTTGAATGGGACAGAGGTTTTGTAAGGGCACTGGGACACAGAGTAGTGGGACTGCGAAGGGGAAGGAGCTAAGGTTGGGGGAGGCTGGAAGCTGGGGAGGAAGAAGGGGAAAGGGGGAGCCAATGGAGGAGGAGGGAAGATGCTGCAGATGGATGCCCTTGGAGGCCTGGGCAGGGAGGATGGCGGGAACCTGAGACTGGAAGAGGGGTCCGGGGAGGGTGATGGACTAGATCTGAGAGCCAGGGGCTGGAAATGAGGATGAGGGTATGACTGGGACTTGCTGGGGATGGGCAGAAAGGTGCTGGGAGGGAAAACTGCTTGGGCAAGGAGTCTTGGACCAAAATGAGAAGCCTGAGCAGTGGGGACTGGGGCTGGGTGGGTGAGGGGCCAGAGCTGGGGTGTGGGGGGAAGAATATTGGGTCAGGGGAAAAGGTGTATAGGATGGCAGGATGACGCAGGACGGTCTCCTTGCTAGGAGTCGAATGCTCCCTTGGCCAGCTAGATCCTGTTGCTGCCTGTGTCATGTGGTCCTGCGTGATCCTGGCCCAGTTATTTAAGGCAGCTTTCCCCATGTGGGCACAGACTGCGATCCTTTTTCCTGGGTGCTGACATGAGAACCTGGGGGCAGATTTGCAGAAGAGCTGAGCCTTGCAGGCACTCCTGAACGCCAACAGAAACTGTGCTGTGAGTGGTTCAAGTGTTTTATACTGGGGAAAGTACAGGGATCCCAAAAGGGCAGCCCAAATCAGTGGGCCCTTCTAGCCTCCACCTCCCTGTGCCCTGGTGCCTGTCACTAGAGTGGGGACAGACCCACCTCCATGCCTCCCAGATAAATTAATATTTGGGAAGCTCGCGGAAGAGCGCCACAGAGAAACCTGTGGGGAAATGAATAAGTCTGTCTTCACAGTGGGGTTTGGGTGCCATGCAGCAAACAAAGCCCAGGGCCGCGTTTGGCACACTGCAAATAAAACAGTGCATTAACGAGCTGCTCGCTAATTGATTGGCATCTATCCTGCACTCTGGGTGAGGCTGGCATCCTGTGGAAAATAAACAACCTGCAAGCATGTCATTAATGAGGCTCTGACTTAATTCCCATGTAGATGGGGTTGTACTGGGTTGGCACCGGCCACCCGAATGCTGGCTTTTCGTAGCTCTGCAGGTCCTGACTTTGCAACCTGGATCCTCTTTTGAAGGTCCTTCCTTCTGTGGCTCGCTCAGTACTAGCGGGGAGGGGAAGGGAATGGGCTGCCGCCGATTCCTCACATCCTCGCATCTGTCTGGTCTGTCCCCTGAAGGAACAGAGAGGAGATCCACTAACTGCTCCCCTCAGAAGCCAAGGCCCAGGTTGCCAGTGATTCAGTCCCCACACCTGGACCAGAGGCTTGGAAAGCTTTGTCCCCAACATGCTGCTCCTGTCTGAGAACATGGACACTTAGTCAGGTGCCTCGACGAGGGAACTGCGATCTTTGGAAAGCTCCTTCCAAGTTCGCGTCTCCACCAACCTCTCTCTTTAGGCAAGAGCGGGGATTATTGGACGGGGCAGGGAAGGCTGACTATAGAGGGGCAAGCTGCTGTGAAAGTGGGGTGGATGCAGAAGGCAGGATCCCTGCGCCTGAGGGTACGGAGTCAGCTTGGCTGCAGAGCCCAGGGGGGTGGGAGGGAGGCTCTTGTCTTTGCATCTAGATGAATGTTTCCTTGGCAGCCTTTCAGTCCCCCGGATCCATATCAATAATACCTGGTGGCTTAGTCCGAAGAAGGATGGGAGTGGTGAGAGCCCAAGGGAGGGCTGAGGAGCGAGACACGGATGGGGGTAGAGCCGCTGATGGGAGCTAATGGCGGTTCTGGGCAGTAGAAAGGGTGCAGTGAGGATTTATGCTCTGGGGAGAGGACCATGGCAAAGATAACGGGGCCTGTTTGGGCAGGAGAACGTTTAATTGCTGGGTGGGTAAAGATGGTCTGCGTTAAAGGGATGTGGAGCAGCGGGAGGGATTTTGCTTGGGCGGCATTATTTAGTGGGAAGGGGTCACTGGAGAGGGGGCTCCTGTGGGGTATTGGAGTGAGGCTGGGAGGGGGGTGGTTTCTGGGAGGGGGGCATTCATGGTGGGTGCTGTGATGGGCTGGGGGCTACTTCAGATTGCCTCCTCGTGGGCTCTGACTGGCGGCGAGGAGACGGGGGGCTGCAGCAGAGGGCTGAGGGTCTGCTGAGAGCTGCAGGGAAGTACCGGGACTAGGAGAGGGCTCAGCAGTTTCTCCTGGCCCCCAAGATCCCTAAATAGGGCATGGCACTGAAGTCTGTAACTCTTCCTGGTCCCTTTCCCCACTGAGCAGCCCTAAGGAGATGTAGGGACTGGCAGACACACTGTCCCCATGAGATCCGACCCTCCGAGCAGGAGCAGCCTGTATCCTTGCTGCCTGAGCTGTAACCACCCTCCTGTTCGGTGTTCACCTGGCGTTCATATGGTTTCATCCCAAGGGAGCAGAGAGGGGCTGATCCTGCCCATCCCCAGCTACCTTGGCGCTAGCATGCCATGTGCCACAAACCCTGGCCTGCTAGAGAGCCAGGATGAGAGAGAGGGATGGGGCCACGGGGAGCTGGGCTGCTTACAGGAGGGAGATGGATGGCTTGACTTTGCACAAAGCATGCGGCAAAAAGAAAGCAGCAGCTTATTTATCCTCGCGGACGTTTCTACTTCTCCTTGTCTTGTTCTGAGTTTAACCCTCCTGGTGCCAGGATGGCAGGGATGATGCAAGCTGCTGGGGGACCTGGTCCGAGGGCTGAAGGGTGCTGGTTTGTTTTCTCACTTGGAGGGAAGGAGGATCCCCAGTTCCTGGCTCTGGAGGGGTTGTGTTCCCAGAAGGCACGTAGGAACCGTCTACAACTTGTAGCACTTGGAGGCGGCGCTGCCCTTTCCAAGGTTGTCTGGTCTTGTGGAGTTATCCCCAGTCTTGTGGTATTATTCAGTGCATTTCCTAATAGCATGGCTTCTAGAGTGCTGTGTTTAACTGGAGGAGCCCAGCTTTTGCTGGATAGAAGTGGAAGCTCTTGCATTTGCTTGGCACCGTGTTTTGCGCATGTCCTGTGAAGTCATAATCCAGGTGGCAATGCAAATTGCCCAGCCCACACTATGAAGTGCATCATACCAGTAGCTTGGCCAAGCTCTTGGTGGTATGAGAGACCTGATGGGCCTGGGCTTGGCTACTGATTTGAGGGCCCTGAAGTGAAGAATGCATCAAGGTGCCTCCTACCTCCCCTGCTCTCCCTGCCCAGTACAGAGGCTCTTCCAGTGCCCTCCCAGAGGGAGGAGTTGGGAATGAACCTGCCTGATGCTGGGAAATGCCAACGTTTTGAAACAGCCTGATTCTGAATTACCAAAAAAAAACAGATGTCAGAATTCCTTAAACAAAGAAAAAAAGGGGGGAAGAAATTTGCTGCAAAAATTAATGGAGGCAAAATAAAAAGTGTTTCTGCATTTTAAATTTTTTTTTTTTTTTTTTTTTT